TTTGACGATTCTCTAAACCTGCTGAAGCCGTTAAGCATTTACTCTGTTTACAATATTTATTGCTGGTTCATTATAGTTTTTTAAAAAACACCTCCCTGCTTCAACAGCTTCCTTGTGGTATGTTGCTTTGTCATGCATTGTTAAATCTCCATCATTGCCAAACAGTTCAGCAAACACTTGTAATGGTTGTTTAACAAGCTTCTGAAGTTCCATTTGTTTTTGAGATCCTGCAGTCAGGTGGTATGAAAATAATGAGCAATATTTGCAGTACAATCTTTTTTTATTATCTGAATAAACTAGCCATTCATATTTTTCCAGATGAGAATGATTAAGATATCGCTTTTCTTGTTTATTTTTCTTCTTGTGAAGTGAATGTGGCATTTTGTAGTCAGCTAGTGGCTTCCATGGCGATTCTAACAGACTTTTTTTTGTCAAATCATCCATAAATGTTCCAACAAATTTTCCAATATCATTGATAAACCCAGCATTTAAAATCTTACTAGAAAATGCCTTAGCAATTTCAGCTGTTCCAGTCTCAGTTGAAATCTGTTCATTTTCAGAAAAAAGACTATCGTGAGCTATGACTACTGAATTGACATTCATATTCCGGCTGTTGCTGTCCATATTATTACTTGTTTCTGTTATCTCATGTTCAACATGTTCAGTAGAAATACTATTACTTGTTGAAGCTTCTGCTGATGTGGTTGGAAGTGGAAGTTTAGTTGTTCCACCAACTTCAGTAGTGACAGTAGAATTAGTTGTAGATGCTTCAACAGACTTTTTTCTCTTCAACGTCACAAAAAATGAATCCAAAGTACTCTGTGGTTGTAAAAAATTTGTTCTCTTCATTTTCTTCCGATGATAATGGTTTGTTGTAATTGTTCCTAATATTTTATAGTATTATAAACAATAATTAATGAATGTTTTAATTTAAAAGTAACTTGTATTTACTATTTTTGTCGTTTTTAAGTAACACAACACAATACACAACCATGGCGCTTGAAAACGAAAGTTAGACTGTTTAAAAGTGAATAGTGATATAAAATTAAAAAGTGCATATTTAAAAGGATTACTTAACACTACAATAATGGGATCCGTAGTAAATAATATGATTACTACATCACTCTTTTTAATAGAACAGAGTAGAATTAAGTTTACTGACATGATACGGGAGTGCGAGCTACCGCGAGCCTGCACACTTGCACCGTCTTTACCGATGCTGATACGATCGCGACATATATGCCGTAATGTCTTAGTCACAAAGATTGTTATTTAAAGGGCAAATTGAAAAATAATTTAAACGTTTTTTTATTTTTGGGCTTGCCCGCCTTGCAGGCAGTTGTGGGTTGCCATGATGGATAAAAATCGCCCCCCCCCCCTTACTAGATCACCTGGATCCGCCCCTGATCAGATATATATTAATATCTATATATCTTTTTATTATGTTCTTCAAATCCTCATCTATTGATTTGAAGCAGCCATCTTCGCCACAAAGGCTGTTTATCCTTTTCACACGACGTACATATGTATTTAGGTGCACGCGCAAGCACCGCATCATATACGCTGAGTATATGATAGCTATTGAGATGTTTGACTCAGCGAGCATTTGAACCACTGAGCCATCTCGCCGGCCAATTTCTATTATGATAAAATTTATCATAATAAAAATTATCTCGCCTCTATTTTTATAGTTTTTTGATATCTTCGCACAAAAATACTTGTTTCTTATGAACTATTTATCCTAAGTTTGAGGAACTAGCCATATTAGGAAAAGTGAGATAATTATTATATAATAAGTACAACAAGATAATGATAAAATCATATAGTTAAGATTGCTAAGGTATATGGCATTTTTTAAACATTTAAAAAATTTATTATAGACGT